CATATTCTTAATAACATACGTAAAGCTCAAGGTCATCAACGTGATATCCCTACAAATAACATAAATAATTACCATTTTGTAATATATACTCTATGCAGAGTATATATCATAAAACTGTGCCATAAAACAATATCCATCTCTCTGAAAAAATGAACTTAAAAAGTTTCGAATCATGATGGGTGGAAATTGGTTACCATATTGATATATGATTCATTGATAAAAAAAAAAAAAAAAAAAAAATGTTGAATAAAAGTTATAAGTGAAGGAATTACAAAATACGTAGTCTGTATTGCTAATGTTAACAAGGTAGCGTAACTTTCCTTAACTATATCGAAAGTAGTGCAAAACTTTTTTCCCTTTCTAAGAACATAAATGTTTTATTATGGCCGGCAAGATTTTCGCATCTGAATAGAATGTCTTGGGGGGGGGGGGATATGAAGAAAAATATGTAGCAATGAAAGGCAGTTCAATTCAATGTTTGAACTAAAAACAAGGATGAAATTCAATAAAATTTATAAAATGTTTATATAAATCGTTACTTAAACATGTGCTAGAAGTTACTTAAACGTCGAAAAGGAGGGAAAACTCATTAATTATAGGTTATGTGAGTACTATATTTCAATGTTTGTAATTTTATACAATAACACAACTTACTTTACTTGTCCTATCTTTTTGTCGCACTCATTTTTCGCATAAATAGATATAATTCTTGAAATACAACATAAATAATAACTCTTTGTACATAACACAGATTTTGAAAAGCATGAAAAATCCAGGAATCCCCTATCGTTTTGTCGCGAAATGTATACCATTGTTTTCGTTTGAGAAAATTTATAGATATAAATGGATACAATTGACAATTTGTTGTCCAACACATCGTGCAATGGTTAAATGAGTATTATCTTCAAGAGAGATCGAATTCTTGGATAACTTTTTATACATATCAAGAAGTAGAACTAACATGGGTAAATGTTGCTAATTTTTTTCTTATACAAGTGTACAAAAATCAATCTGTTGTTATTATTTCGTATTTTCGTTATAATTTTTTTTTCTTTTAGTAAA